CCCCTTTCCCGGCAGGCCCTGCTCTGGTCCGCAGCCCGCCGGGCCCACAGGGGAAAGGGGGAGGGTGGGGGCTGGGGCTCCGTTTCACCGCCCTTCCCAGACCGGGAGCTCCGCCCAGGCCGTCCCACGCCCCGCCCAGTCGCGCGGGACGTGACCTCCGTGTGTCGCGCAACCCGGGGCAAGGGAGACCGACTCATCTTGGATTTGCCCTGCGAGAACTGGGAAAACCACGAACTGGGCAACGAACCACAGCGTCCGGTCACCAGATGCTGGGTTCCGTGACTCTGGCAAGCCAGGGGAGGAGCGCACGCTGGGGACTTGGTCACGGCTGCTCCAGCCTGGCCCTGGCGCCTGAAGGCAAGGAGTGGGGAATCGCCGCTTGCAAAGAGAGACTCACAGAACTGCTGACAGTTAATCAAGTTTATTTGTGTTCACAGAACATACTGGGCGACCCCACAGCCGCCCTGACAGCCCACCGATCCCTCAGCCACCCCTTGGGGGCAACTCCGAGATCGAAGGCCAAGGACCTTATTCCCAGCGGTCCGCCGAAGCGTCGCACAGTAGACTCGCGAGTTGAGATGCTGGAGGACCGAGTGTCACCCGCTAAACCCACCACCCACCACCATTCTTGACTTCCAGCCCCGGCGCCCTCCCGGACCCGGGTCCTGTTCATCCCTCTTCCCTGCTTCGCTCCGTTCTGGGGCCAGCCTCCACCAATCCCACAGAACTCTATAAATACCCAGAGATCTGCACTTGCAGCAGGGGGCACATCTCGCACCCCTGCATAAGTTAAAATAAATATTACAAACACCCCTCCATCACCTGGGGGACATACATAAATACATATAAATATTATTAGAAGCAATGAGAAATAAATTAACGACGCTCTTTCACGATCTGGCCTAGCCCTGGCGTGTCGGTGCCTGTCTCTCCCAGGCTCGGGCTGGCGTCACCGCTGTAGTGTTCTGAGTGTGAGTTGCCTCGGGAGTCCCAGTTTGGGATACGCTCTCGCGCACCAGGTACACCCAGTGTTTCTTTGGTTCTTCGAATTCTTTTGGGAGTACGAAGAGCCCCAATTAGAAGGCGGCCGGGTGTTGCTGGAGAAAAGTGCTGAGGTCCAAAGCGTAGTCTGAGGGCTCCGAGGTTAGATTAAGGGGCTCGACCGGGGGCGCAGCGGTGGGTGCGGGAGACGGGGCGCTGGGGGTGTCCTCCTGGGCCAGGGGTGTCGACACACTCTCTTCAGCCGTCAGGATCTGGCAGAAGATGATGGTGAGCAGGAGAAAGAGCAGCCTTTTGGCAGGGTTCGGATCCTCGACTGGCAGCTGGCGCCGGACCTGAGAGGGGGGACAACAAAGGGAACAGGTCAGGGCCCAGGCGTCCGGTGGTTCACCCCGCTCTTCCCCCGGGCTGTCCACTTCGGCGACACTCACCACTCGTGGGTACAGGACCCTACGGCTGCGCTTTCGGTGCCCGCGGGAGGCGCTGGGGCGCGCAGCGGGTGCCACCGCGGGCTCTGGGAGAGGGTCGAAGGTGAAGATCTCAGGACCGGAGCCCCTCCGGGGTCCCGGGCTGGTGGAGGGGACCGGGGTCGGGGCCCGCAGGACGGTCATGGTCGGGAGGGAGCTGCGAGAGTGACACATGGTGCGCTGAGCTGAGCACACGGATGAGTGGGGACCCGCAGCCCTGCAGAGCTAGTTAAGCACCCCGAGAACTGGGCGGGTCCTTCTCAACTCCACCCGCGGCTGGGAGCGGTTGGCTGGCCGGCTGGAAATTCCGAAGATTAAGCAAAGATGGGGGTGGAGACTTGGCCAGCGCAACGGTAGGCGGTCAAGTATGTGTTGTGTGAGTTGTGAGTGGAGGCGGGTGAAATCCCGGGCTGCGGGCACATGTCGGGACATGTGGCAGCTGGAGAGGGGCCCACAGACCGTTTGAAGTGTTTCTGCCACAAGCCCCATCTTTGGGAGGCAGGACAGCTTACAGAAGGAAGTCTGGCCACCCTGGTGCAACACTGACCAGCTAAGTCCAGGAACCAGTCACACACACACACACATTCAGACATTTGTAGGGACACAGAAAACACACAGTGTAAGAGAGAAGTCATTACAGAAATAGCCATGAAGCCTAAGAGAAACAAACACACTAGCACACAGAGAACCCTGCCTGCTTTAGCGCACGCACACACACACCACCTTGTAGAGGCAGAAAAATTTCCCCTTCTTTATTCTAGTTTCTTTGGCTGGTCTAATAATTAAATTGATACAGGACAGAGTAACTGGAAAAAACATTTAATTGCAGACTTGCAGGAGCCCATGAAGACTTAAGACTCAAAGTCGGTCTGGCAATTGACGCTTATATACCTTCCTGAGCTAAGGAATGAGACTCGGGCCTGGAGCTTGAAGGGGAGGTGGGTACTTGACAGAAGGCTGAGAAGAGCAGGTGTTGGGTAATTAAATGGTTGCCCTGCCAAGCATCTCTCTCTGGGCCAGGTCCCCTACTTAAATTATGTAGGCAGTTAAGGGAGAGGTAAAACGCTTTTCCTGAGTCTGCTGGGTCTTGACTGCCTTCAGCTCAAAATAATCCACATGCCAAAGTGCACATTGTAGGGTGGCCTATTCTGCCATATTCCCCTTCATTATGAACTTCACACACACGGAACAAAGGTGCAGAGATGGCACAGGGGCAACCCAGCAATGTACAGAAATGTTGATACATGCCTGGAGCAGAGGACCACAAAATACCAAGGCAAGAAGTTAGCAGCCACCTCCTTTTTGTCCCCCATGGTCTGGATCAACTATCAAAACTTACAAAAAGAACATTTAAACTATGAGACATTAGGCAAATGCGATGATAATAACTCAAGAGAAATTGACACCTCTCCCTAACTGCCTTAGAAACAGCTGCTCATGGCACAGAATTTAACAACTTTTGAGCATTCACCGGGGCAAGGCACCCTGTTTAAAAGGTCCCGTAGAGAATACTGAGGTGGGTTTCAGTGTGTATGCTGCTGAGAGCCACCAGCCAGAAACAGTGGGCACCACAGTTTCCAAGAAAACAGAAGACTAAGTGTTGGGGGACCTAGTCGAGCTACTGTTCCTGTCTGTCTAATCAATCAGATGAGGGGGAAGGGTATAGCACAAGTGGTAGGGCACAGGCTCAGAATGCAAGAGGTCTTGGGTTCAATCCCCAGTACCTCCTCCAAGCAGAAATCAATGAATAAGCCTAATTATCCCCCCCCCATAAAAAAGAAGAAAAAGAAAAGAAAAGAAAACCAAACAAAACAAGCAAAGAGTCAGGCGAGGCTTCAGGGAAGAATGGCATTGGAGATGACCTTGAATAGTGGGTGGGATACCACACAGTCAGATGTGGAAGATGACTGAGAAAGAGAATGGAATCAGCAAAGGCCTTGAGCTGGAAAAGTACAGGATGTGTTTGGGGAATCACAAGAAAAACAATCTCAGGGTAAGTTTCCCGTAAAGGAGTAGTGGTGAAACCCATCAGGACCCTGTGGGGCCCTCAGAAAAAGACTTCAGCCTCCTAGACTTTCCCTGGGTTCCAGAGTAGATTCCAACTCTTACTAATAAGGGAAGGAAGAGAATGCAAAAACAAAGAGGAACAGCCAAGAAATAATAGTGCAGATAAAGGACTGGTTCCCCTTTATGAAAGATACATAATATCTTTGAGTTCTTCTGCAGGAACTAAGGCCCCCACCGGTGGAGGAGGGCAACTCCATGCTGAGCACAAGATTTCTGGAACACCGTCCTGTTACTTCATCACCAATCAATCAGAAGAGAGTCACATACCCTGCTGCCCTCACCTCAAATTTTGCCTTTAAAAACTCTTCCCCATCACCTATCAGGAGTTTGGGGTTTTGAGCACAAACTGCCCCTTCTCCTTGCTTGGTGCTTGCAAAAAATCTTTCTCTGCTTGACTCTGACATTTTAGTTTGCCCTCAGTGTGCATCAGGTATGCAAATTGGGGTTCAACAACAGTGGAAAGTGATGATGGCTGGAAAGGAATTGGGCAGTGGGGAGAGCTTGGCTGGCAGGCCAGGAGACTGGGTTTGACTCTAGACTGGGGAGCTTGTGGGTCATAAGGTGACATCAAAGGAGGGCAAGTTCAAAGCTGGGAATTGAGTGGGATGAAAAATATGCCCTGGATGGGGAGACACTGAAGCAGAGACAGTATACTACTAGAGAGGTTCTGGTAGAAGGAAGCAAGGTTCTGAAATGGGCTGTGACACAGGGAACCAAGAGAAGGGATGTCTCTAAGAAACATTCGTAGCATAAGATGACCAGGATTTAGTGATAAGATGGATATCATTAGGGTCAGGGAGTGTGGAGGAGGGCTGCTGACAGCAAGAGGATGGAGGGGTCAGAGCTAACTCCTTAGATGTGGGATGCATCTGGCACAGAGCCTTGCACCAGATCACATTTATGCCTGGTGCTCAGGACGAGCACATGTATGACCTCTTCCATTAGAGGCTCTGTCACATGTCTTTGTGTCTTCTGTAGAATCTTGCAATCTGTCTTGCATGTAGGAGTTTTTCCATAATCTTGATAGATAAAAGATGAAAATGCAGAATGGTAACTGCACATATAGTCTTCACACACTGGCTAGATCAACCCAAGCTTTTGAGACATACATACACTCCTTCAAATCACACATCCAAATTTACAACATCATAAGAAAAGCTGAGGAGGGGGTAGGGTATAGCTGAAGTGGTAGAGCGTATGCTTAGCATGCACGAGGTCCTGGGTTCAATCTCCAGTCCCTCCATTAAAAATAAATAAATAAATAAACTTAATTAACACCCCCCCCAAAAAAGA